GATAAAGGCAAGGGAAAAGTTTAAACGTTGATAATAGTTTGTTCGTATATGTATTAAAGATACATTTTTGTTAGTCCATGTTTTGTAATAATATTGTTTTYARTAWTTATGAGTATGATGATGTGAATTATGTGTATATGAAATATGTGGGTTATTACAGATGCAATATTCGACGTCGATGGGGTCCATGTTTAAAGATGACCAATTCATGTTTCAATTGTCGAAAACAAGGTGATATGGAAAAAGATTGTCCCAAAGCTCTGATACAAACTGATAAAGGGAAAGGTAAACAACCAAGTATTAGTGGACAAGTCTTTGCATTACCTGGCAACAAATCTCAAGCGGGTATGATTTCGGGTCATGTTAAATTAATTGATTTATCTGTTTATGTTTTGTTTGATACTGGTGCGACACACTCARTTGTTTCTGAACAATTAGAATCCCGATTAAAACCGTATGAGCAAACCACCGAATTTCCAGTGGTAATATCTACTCCAATGAGTGGTTCAATTTGTTTGCTAACTCGTTTTTCCAACTGTTCGTTCCTTATTGGGGACTGCATACGAGAGGCCACTCTGCTTCCAATGCATATGTCCTACTTTGATTTAATATTGGGTATGAAACTGGTTATCACGCCACCGGGAAACAATAGACTGTAATGCCAAACAAATTTTGTTTGGGGATATAGACAACCCGGAGGCAATCTTCCAAGGAGGTACTCCAAATGAATATGTTAGTGCAGTAGTCTTTATTACTGTGAAATAATATACGTGGTAAAACAATGAAAGTTTTCTTGCTGCTCTACAAGATCCCGAACAGGTATTTCCTACTTTTGCATCCATACCTGTTGTTTCTGAATATCTTGATGTGTTCCCCGACGATTTACCGGGTATATCACTGGTACGGGAAGTTGAATTTACCATCTATCTAGTCCCAGAAGTTTCTTCTATATACAAGGCTCCCTATCGAATGGCTCCAACTAAATATGAAAGAGCTTAAAACTCAACTTGATGATCTATTGAAGAAAGTTTTCATTCGGCCCAGTGTTTCACCCTGGGAAGCTCCAGTTCTTTACATTAAAAAGAAAGACGATATGATGCGTCTTTGTGTTGATTATCGGGAACCTAACAAAGTAACGATCCGTAACAAGTATCTGTTGCCAAGAATCGATGATTTGTTCGATCAATTACAAAGGGTACGATACTTTTCCAAATTTGATCTTTGGTCCGGGTACCATCAACTTCGTATCCGAGATTTTGATATTTCGAAAACTACATTTAGAACTCGCTATGGGCACTACGAATTTTTAGTAATGCCTTTTGGGCTAACTAATCCTCCAGCGGTCTTTATGGGTCTTATGAATCGGGTTTTCAAGGATTATCTCTATGAATTTGTTATCGTGTTTATTGACGACATCTTGATTTACTCAAAGTTAAGAAAGCAACATGATCAACATCTTCAAATTGTTTTGAAGACTCTTCGAACAAAAGGTTGTATGCAAAACTTTCCAAATGCGAGTTCTGGCTCGATCAAGTGTCTTTTCTCGGACACGTAATCTCTGCTGAAGGTGTCAATGTCGATTCGGCGAAAATTAAAACCGTCACTAATTGGTCACGACCTATGAACGTATCTGAAGCTCGTGGTTTTCTGGGTCTGGCTGGTTATTACAGACGATTTGTTGAAGGTTTTTCTAAAATATCTCTACCGTTGACCCGATTACTTCGAAAAGGAGTCAAATGCAATTGGGGTTCCGAACGAGAATCTAGTTTTGAGGAATTGAAACATCGATTGGTTACAGCACCTATTCTTGTATTGCCGCCTGACACTGGTAGGTTTCAAGTTTACAATGATGCTTCAAAGAAAGGTCTCGGTTGTGTTCTTATGCAACACGAAAAAGTGATCACATATGCTTCTCGTCAATTAAAGCCTTATGAGGTCAATTATCTGACTCATGATCTCGAATTGGCTGCAGTGATCTTTGCACTCAAGATCTGGCGTCACTATTTGTACGGTGAGACCTGTGAARTTTTCACTGACCATAAAAGCCTCAAATATATCTTTACTCAAAAAGAGTTAAATATGCGTCAACGAAGGTGGCTCGAACTTCTGAAAGATTACGATGTTCGGATACAGTATCATCCGGGCAAAGCTAATGTAGTCGCCGACGCTTTAAGCCGTAAAGCTATGGAACAAGTTTCTTCTTTAATTGTTTCTACAGAGTTGGCTTTGGAAATCGAACGGTTCGGACTAGAAATCTATCCGAGTTCGCAAACGAAAATTCTATCGAATCTAATGGAAGAACCGACTTTAATCCCTCGGATCAAAGAAGCCCAGCAAGATGATAGTGAGTTATGGGTAAATTTCCAGCAGGCACAAGAGAATTCTAGTTCAGAGTTCAGAATTGATGATGATCACGTGTTGTGGTTTCGGGATCGTCTTTGTGTTTCGAATAACTCGGAGCTTAGAGATCTAATTCTAACTAAAGCTCATAACTCTATGTTTTTGGTTCATCCTGGCACAACAAAAATGTATCGTTATTTGAGGAACCATTTCTAATGGATTGGAATGAAGCGAGATATCGCCGACTTTGTAGCTCGTTGTCTCACTTGTCAACAAGTTAAAATTGAATATCAACGTTCGGGTGGTGTTCTCCAATCATTGAACATTCTAGTATGGAAATGCGAGCATATATCTATGGATTTTGTAGTCGGATTACCCCGTACGATCTTGAAACACGATGCAATCTGGGTAGTGGTAGACCGACTCACAAAATCGGCTCATTTTATTTATGTCCGACAAACTTGGTCAATTGATAAGTTGACCGAAGTTTTTCAACGTGAGATTGTGCGTCTTCATGGCACACTTGTATCGATTACCTCCGATTGAGACCCAGGTTTTACATCTCGATTTTGGGAAGGTTTACATAAAGGTTGGGGCACACGTTTGAATTTTAGTACAACCTTTCATCTACAAATTGATGGGTAATCTGAACGTACAATTCAAACATTGGATGATATGCTCCGAGCATGTGCGTTGGAATGATATGGAAGTTGGGTTAACTACTTATATCTAATCGAGTTCCCTATCTCTAAATCCGATTTCGGGGATGAAATCTCCTTTTAATTGGGGGAGAATTGTAAGACCCGAGTTTTAAAAACATTCTCGTTAACGTACCCAAATTGTACCGTACTTAAACAACGGTCGATAATTATTGAAGGATTAAAACCGTCAAATTATAAACTTATTATAATTATAATATTATATAATATATATATATATATATGAGAAAAAATAACAATGCATCGTCGCTTCTTCATCTTCATGGACCGCCATTCTCATCTCTCTTTCTCAATTTTTTTTTCTCTCTAAAATATTTCTCAAATCGTTGAAGCAATCGAAGTAACGATTATATATTCGGAATCCACTCTTCGAACCCTTCAAAAAGGTATAAATTTCATTCACTTTTATTAGGGTGTTTACGTTAGCAATTTTTTAGACCGGTTTATAAATTATGTTATATCTAAGTTTACGGATTGACATTGTTAATATTATGATATATTTCATATTTAGAATGCTAGGATTGGTTAAATTGATATAGGAATTAAAAGGGTAGATTATGGTTAGATTTGGTGTATATGTTTAACGGCACACCAATTGTTCGATATAATGCCGAAAAGAGTAAAATTGCAAGATTAAGCTTAGGTTAGGGACCATTGGACTTGTTTTACTGTTTAGTATGTTGAAACATGTTTATAGCACATAAATGTAGCGAATCATGGAATTTGGATTATAAAAGTTAGTCGGGAATTGCGGAATCGGATTTTACCGACTATGCAGGTCCGTACTTTGACAGTGTATAACTTACAAACCGTAAATCGGAATAAGCTCATATTTTGCAGTTAAAAATCCCTTAATGCATAATACAACTTTCATGTAGGATCGAAAATCCAGTTATGAATCTAAGTGGCACGAAACAGTGTGTTTTCGGGGGCTGTTTGCAATGTATTTAGGATTGATCTGTTGTTTTGTAATAATCGTATAAAATATATGGATAATCCAAATGAGGTGATTTGAAAACCAGTAGTTTCATCGCATATCATACTACATCTTTCATTTAGATAGTATTTTCTGTATTGATTTCTAAGTGGGGTAAAAATGTTTCCGAAAATGAGGGTCAAAAGCAAATAAAAGTCGAAACGGAATTATATAAAGCTAAGTGTTGAGTCGATTTCCTAAGGCATATCCGGCTGTCCCGTTTGAAGTTTAAGTTGTTTATAAACATGTAGGACCTAAGTAGTTTATTAGTAGAATTAGGATATGATCTTACGTTGTTTAAGTAATAACCGATTTACGCATTCGTTAGGCACGCGAACAAGTCGAACTTTACCGTGAATCCCGTTTGATCGTGTTTACTTCTATATTCCGCTTAAGGTAYGGATTTCACTTTCTTTGACTCTTGGGCAACTAGTTGTTGTAGTTGACCTTTCGTAACAATGGTTCACTACTTTGTGATTGATCGCTTAAAAGTGGTCAATAAATTACGTACTTATATATATATATATATATATAAAAACTCTTGAATCTTTATAGTAAACTCTTGAATCTTTATCGTGAACACTTGATTTTAGTTCGTTGAATTGTATGTTTGAATCTTTCAAGTTTATTAATTTGATTCTCAAATTTTGAAGTAGTTTTGAGTTTTATGAAGTATTTTGAAGATTGACTTTTTATGAACGTCATCCGGGTAGTGGCATATGTTTTGTTTTATTGGTTTTCAGAACAACTCAATTAATGGGCACATTATTTGGGATGTCTTCTATAGCGGCTTTGTAGTCATGGCGTCCTGCAGGAGAACTCGGTCCATAGGGTTAGGCCCAATAGTGGCTTACGTGAACCCACCTTGTGGACTAGGCCGATTTTATTGGCTCCAGGGCGGATGGATCGATCCTAGGATTACCCACCATGTGACCGTGGTTAAATTCACGGGGGACTCGGGGGTGTGTGCCCGCACGCCGGCCCGATAGTTCGTGTGGTT